GCGGTAACAAACCAGGCAAAAACTTCAGACGGTCAGAAGTGGCAAATCTTTCAATTATAGACATTACCTAGAGTTCCATGCCTTGAAATATTACATAAGCATTATATTTATCTTGCCAAGGCTGGTTTTACACTTAAAAGTTTCTACATTATCCTTAAGAAGTATTTAACAATCTTTCAAGAAATCATCAGGTTGCGAAGTTATAATAAACGGAAAGAACAAAAACTTGCCTCGAGTTAGGTAAAAGAGATTTGACGGACGGCGTCAACTCGAGCTTGAGCCGATAAGAATGCATTGACCTTTGGAATAATACATAGTTTAAAATCCTACTTGAAATCCCTTTCTACTATTCCTTTGCTTCGTTTTATGAGGCCTGCATTTCGCCGGAAGGTACGTGTTCAGTCAAGTTTCTTATGATTTCTTGTCCAGTTAATGTTTTTCCTCTTCCAGAGGCTTTTTCTTCAGAATTGATTTAATATTTGTTTTTGTCCGCTTTGAGTTGAAAAATCGGCAACATGTCGGTGAGCAACTTGGCTCACAATTAGGAGAGCAACCCGAGGCGCACTGGGAACCAGGCCAACTCATGGGCTGAGACATTGGAAACTGAGAAGAGGCAGCTGGTGCAGGGGGGTTTGTGGCTTGGACGGGGAATTGATTATTCCACTGTTGTGCTGGTGGTTGGTAGACCTGAGGGCTTGGAACGACTGCTGTTACCGGTTGAGGTGGTGTAGCAGGCATGGGTGCCGGCACAGGCTGATAAAAAGGCTGGCAACAGGAAGCTAGACACAGGGGAACACAGGTTGATGGACAGTTGCTGGGACATTGAGTGACATCTTCGTAGCAACCTGCATTGCGAATTGAAGTTCAAGTGAAAATTGAATAAGGCTTTTAAGAACCTAACATGTATCTTAGCGCGAACGTTGCATTGTTTTCTTGAATATTTATTTTAATTACCTGCCGCAGCAATCTTTCCCTCTCCAAGTTTATCCAGCAATTTTCCGAGGAATGTGTCTGCAGCTCTGAATCGCAAGATAAAGTAAGCTTTCACTCCTTCAGGCTCCTTTGAAGAACTGAAAAAAGGTATATTATAACCGGTCATTACAAGTGCAGAATGCTCGGTAAGATTAAAATTTAAATTGTTCTTAGATTCAGATATATTCAGTCACAATAACCAGGACCGTAGCAGACAAGTTATGAGTAAGGCAATGCCCA